TTTTGTAGAGTGGACAGTGTTCTACCAAATGAGATGTCGAACTCTAATGTAGCTTTGATACAAGTGAAGCTATAAGCATTTTCTGAGAAGCTATTTCTATGTAAGATGGATTTTGGTCAAAAAAATCGATTTTTCAAAAACGAGGGTAAAAAGTAAACAAAAATTTAGATGTTTTATAGGAAAACAAAAAGAAACTGAAATAGCGCATATTGTAGGGCAGAATTCGCTGTACAATCTGATATATGAACCAAAGTTTCAACTTTGAGTTTTGAATGCCAATAGTGAAAAAACCAAAATATACGAAAAATCTTGTCGTCCAAACTAATTTTTTATGCCTTTCAAACATTCTCTCACTGCTCGCTAACAAAAATAGACAGAATTTCTGAACTCATTTTCGGAAAGAGCATAAAATTTCAGTCGTTACCCATTCTTTTGCATTTATCTAGGATACTATCGGAAGGGTGAAAAATAAACAAACATTTTGTCCAGAAACTTTCGCACCACCCGTTATTTTAATGCAGTTCAATTATTCATCTATTGTTCAAGTCGGTATACCGACTTCTGTGATGCTATTGCTTCACCCGTTGGGCACTTTATATTTGTTTTTAACTTGTTAATTTTGTACTGTTTTCAATCTTATTTGTTGTTGTAAAACAACAACAAGTTAACCACTTACAAAGTACACAAAAAGAAACATGCAAGTAAAATTAAAAATTCATCTACTTTGTAAAAAATAATTCGAATTTTCGATTTTCAAAGAGTCAATATAGGAAATAGCATCCGATTTTTTAGACAATCCTATTCGATTTTCTGTTTCTTTGAAAATATGATTTTCCAATTTTTTAAAATTTATTAGGATTTTCTAGAAAATCAATCTCCAATTTTCGAAAAAAATGCAAATATTTTTTAGAAAATCGATGAAATATTTATAAAAAATGCTCAAAACTAGAAAATAATATTTTCAAAGAAATAGAAAATTTGGATCGATTTACTATATGGACTCTTTGAAAATCATTTTTTTTTTTAGAAAATGTTTTCTACTTTACAGTGTTGAGTATAACTTTCAGTGATCGTTCAAGATGTACGAAAAATCTTCATACTGTCTATGTACTATCTGAACAAGTTTATTGAGAATAATAGTATGACGGACGTCATTCTTCTTTTGTGATTGATTCTTCAACAATCACCGGCACCATAAAACACTCGTAGAAACGTGTATTATTTGCTTCAAGAAGAGAAGACAAATTTTGTCACTTTATTGAATATTACTTGAGAGAATTTTGCAAATTTGGTATCTCTGCGAAAAAAGCATGCACACAGCTCGAAGACGCTTATTTTGATCAGAATTTGTACGCGCTACAATTAAAGAAAGATCAGAAACATGTTCAGAGATATCTTCAAGATTTCTAATTCTCTGAAAAAAATCGGTTTTTGAGAAATACCTTTGGAAAAAGAATTGTCAAGAAATTTAAATCTGTTGCCTAAATATACCTGAGGCCTACATTTTGATAAAAGGTTTGAGAAGAAAGTCATCTGCGGATAATAAAACTTAGTCATGGGAAGCTAAAATCCCTTCGTTCTAAAATCACTTTTTCATCATTGACCATTTTGTAACTTGAGTTTCTACGTCAAAATGGCTTTAAAAAAAGCTTTTAAAGTTAAAAATATGTTTTAGAATAAAAATCCAGTTATATTTCAGCTGAAAACGATATTTTCAAAACTATACTGCAGATGACGGTAGTGTGCACTGCGGCTTACTATGTTTCTATCTGGCATATATAAATATATCCACATATTACGTAATCAATTTAGAGGGGACGAGGGATCGCCCAATGATTACATCCATGTTTTACCAAACACATTGGTGTCGGGGTAAAATATGAAAGATAAAATATAAAAGAAGTATGAAATACTTCAGTCACCATCCTGCCACAGGTTAAACCCACTGTATTCGTTCGGTATTTTGCCAATAAGTCTATTAAACTTTAAGGTTTGAAACAACGTACTATAGCATATTTTGTAGCCCTTTCAATTCTGCATTTTTCGAAATACAAACTATTCCTAATTTCTATTTGTGGAAGAAACTGTGATTATTTTTCTATATCTCCATGGGTAAAAGTCGAGATATCTATCCAGTATTTAGACAATAAATCGATGAAGATAAACTTCTAAAACAAAATATTGTAGTTCATCTTGAAGCACAGAAAAGTCTCTACCTTTCTATGTACAAAATATGCCACGTCTGATCAGATATGTGAAAGAAATATTCTTTTAAAGCCTTACGATAGGTGAAAATCATGACATCTGTCTAGTATTTTGACAATTGTTCTATGTGGACGTATGTTTGAGAAGCTTGTCAATAGCTCGTTTTGAAGTGCGAAAAGTTCTATATCTTTCTATGTATGGGCTTTGGTTAAAGTCTTTGAAATAGTAGGAAGAAATTGAGAAACAAAATGAATGACCTTCATTGAACTGATGGCGAAAACTGGTAAGAAATAATTTTTTCAAGGAAATCAGGAGCAATTTTTGAAAGTCAAAAGTGTTGGGAAGTGAAAAGCGAAGCATTTCTGCTCATTTTCACTCAAAAGCATAGTCAACATTCCCTGAAAGTCCCAGACCTACCTGAGCTGAGATAAAATAAAGAATAAATGCAAAAAATTTCTACGACAATAACACCTAATACAATTCTTTACCCATTGATGATGAAACATTTCTATATACAAATAGAAAACATGTCTGGAACGATTTTCATGGATATACTAATTCCAAAGGCACTTATTGATCTGCATTTTTTAGCCTGTTGCCAAGATTGTATTTCAATGTGGTGTAGTGTAGAACAGAAAATTCTCCAGAAGATCTGCTGAAAATCGCTGTAGGTGAACGGAACTGGCGATCAATTGGCAAAATCTGAGGATATTAGACATGTGAAGAAGTGCTAAGAAAAGTTATGTTAATTAGCAACTGTAATGAAACAGTCAACAGCCCATCTTTGTGAGATCTTCAGTGCTTCTAAGCCGCATCTCATTCTAAAACCAGTTATTCATTCAGTGGAACAGAGCGTCTAGATGCCAGTTCGGTTTTAAAACACGGGGGACAAACAAAGAGGACAAACACTTTTGTCTAGAATGACCCATATATGCAACAAAAATAAAAAACATGTCTATTAAGACCTGATGTTTATTCCAGTGGACACTGCTCTTTGCGACAATTTCTGTTCAACGTACTTTGTAATTTTTGTTTTCAGTAGCATATTCGTAAAGAGAGCTCCTTCGTGATTGAGACCACTTTTTAAATCTAATTTATAATCATAAAAAAAGTGATCTCAATTTCGAATGCATATATTCTCTCGTTTCTTATACAAATAAGATGTGTTCTCAATTTGGAATAGGAGTTTTGTTCTTTCACAAAAAGTGTTGCCTGTTTATAATTTCAAATCACTCTTAAATCAGAAACTGATTGAAACATTTTTCAAAATTGATGCAAACTAAATGGAGCTGAGAACGCCATTATTAGACTGGATGAACCTATAAAAATGCAGAGTAGCACTATCTTGAATAGGCATGCAACGGTAACCATAATTTATCGTTTTATCGTATCCTACCGATTATCGGTTAATCCGCTATCGCTTCCTACCGATTATCGCTTCTTACTGGTTATCGGCAAGAACGGATAATCGGTATGACGATAATCAGTAAGAACGGATAATCGGTATGACGATAATCAGTAAGAACCAATAATCGTTATCGTTGCATGCCTAGACTGAAGCAAGCAAAAAGATGACAAAGACAAAATCGTTCGAGAAATGTGCTTTTCGCATTGAGCGCTCTAATTCATTATTTTAACACTGCTTTCTTACCTCGCATTTTCGTTTTCTCCAACTCATAACAGAATAGTGAGTATAAGATTGAATGTGAACTTCTAGGTTCCGGTTTTCAGCGTCGATCGATATATCCAAGATGTGCTTCTAGTAGTTGTAAATTATGGCAAAGGAGTTCTTGAATACAAGTGAACTCCGACGGGATGCTGCAATAGAAAGTCAAAGAATAGGTGGACACACTGAGCCTCCCTCGAGAGAGAAAAGAGATGCGTTCGCCGTTTTACATGACTTCTGCTTTGTGATACAAACAGTTGTTATATAATTCTATTTGCTGTGCGAACACTATCAACTTTTAGATATCACTTCTTCTAGCTGATGAATAAAACAATAATTTTCATGAAACATGTCCAAAAGCTTAGTCTAATAGTCGGTAAACAAGCAGAATAAACATCAACTTCTAACTTGCAGCGAAAATAATAGTCATATGAAGAAGAAAGATATAGTACTAACGATGTTGAGTACTAACGATGAATTACTCTATTCTTATCTTTTTGTAGTTTCAACTAATGTTAGTTAACTAAGACAACGAGGGCTGATAAAGTTGTTCTGATGATGTGTAAAAAACGAATCTTATCAAGAAATATGGTGAAGCAAAATTTACTTATAGAAAGGGACACATAATAGAGAAAATAAACAATCACTTCGTCAGATAAGTGAGACTATTATTTGAAGAGACGAAAAGGTAAGAGAGCAACGTCATACTTGTACTATAACTTGTATACCATTCTCGTTCGACAATGGGGAAAAGGCACTCAAAACTAAGTACTGTACCGAAAATAAAGGATAAAACAGCAAAAACTCTCTCCACTACTCATGGTCAGAAACATCAAGCGTACACCTCTTCTGCAAATACCAGTATCATAGCAAAAGGGGACGAAATCTCACCACGGTATGCGCGATCGCGTATTATTGAAAATTTCGCTATTATCTGGGTGGATTCCACTATGACAGCAGTGATGACACAAAGCATTCAATAGCCCAGCTTCAACGCATCGTGAGTTCTATTCAAATATTCGTTGACGTTGATCAATGTGTTGAATTTTTGAATAGCATCAAAAACGAGAAGGTGTTTATGATTATATCTGCTTCTCTTGGTCAACGTCTCGTTCCTCTTGTCGAAGAAATGGCTCAATTGAGCTTTATCTATGTATTCTGTCATCAGAAGACAAAACATGAACAATGGGCAAAACGATATGGAAAAGTAAAAGGAGTCTTCACTCAAATAGAACATATATGCGATGCACTTAGGGAAGATGTTCGTCAAACTGACAATACGTTAACACCGATCAGTATAGTCAATACCACATCTACGAATCTCGATGAACTCGATCCACCATTTATGTATTCGCAATTACTAAAAGAAACTCTTCTGGACATTGAATACGATACGATTTTGTGTACTTCAGATAAATTATTTTTACACCAGTATGTTTTTATAACTTCTTTTCTAATGTATAGTCTAAGCAATTTATAGTTCAAAATACTACAGAGGAAACTAAAATACCTATTAGAGCTGCGAAAAATAGCGTTTTCTTTTCTTTTCTATTTTCTTTTCTTAGTCATGTTATATAGAGCGAAAGTTCCTAATGCGAACGGGAAAATTTTCAAGTGGAGTAAAGTTCATGTAACTCCATTATTTCTTAACGAAATCAAAAGTTATTAAAATGCGAAGTTCTCCATCAGTAGGACAACCGATCTGTAAAAGAAATTTCAAAAATATGCTTTCGTTTATGTATACTAACCGTTTTATTATACACATGTTTATTTCGTTCGGATTAAGTGACTTATCTGATTGCGAACGTTTCTCTTTCTGGAAATTTCCGGACACCTGATATCATGAGATCTTCCAGAAACTCTTAGACGAACGTATTCTAAGACGGCTACTTTGTAAAACGTATCTAGTTATCTATCTCTAAAAGAATGTCGTCAGAACTAACGCTAAGTTGCTACTGAGTTAGGAAAAGCCTACTGAAAAAATTCTGTAGTTCGTTAAACATGCGGCTGAATCGAGAAATGAATCTAATCGAGGAAGCACTTATCCATGATGTCTAAAGCGTTTACCGCATAGCAAACATTATGCGTAAGCCACGACAAAAGTTGCTCAGGACCGAAAAACAATTTCAACTTCTTTCAATTTTATAATTGCATTGTAGAGTAAACGGGCGTTTGGCAATTGAAAACGGTTAGATTGTAAAATTATAAAGATTTTAAAGACGCCCCTGAATCTAAACTGGTGATTTGGGAAATGGACATTAGATGCAGTAAAAGCGAAACATCTTGCCGTTCAAAAGTGTTGTAGACGACGGATTTCCATGAATATTGAAGTGAAAATCTGTGGTACAGATGTGTCCAATCACATGCGCAAGAATATACATTATGTATGCTGTATGAAATATCCGTTTTTGATCTTTTGACTATTTCTGAGAAATTTTTTTCACAAGAAACAATTAGAGCTGGGCATATGTAAAACTGTCTGCAAACGCATACCACTACGACGAGGCACATAACAGTCTTTAGACTTAGCAGAATTCCGATGGGTAGCACGGTAACTGAATTGTCGATGTGTTTTTTTTAATCAGCTATTCCTTTTCGTGAAGAGATACCAGTGCATCGTAGATAGAGCCTAATTAGCATCGTATAAGAATTTCCGTATTGAATGACACTCGAGAAAACAGTTATAGTAAGAAGGAAATTGATCAGTTTGAGCAAAAGTCACCAACGATGTTTGTTTGGTAGTTATGCGTTTATTTATTTTAACATCTTTATCTGTACGATCCAGTCAATTACAAACAATCATAGAAGATAATCAGTTATTATTATTTTATTTTTGCAGTTAGAACAATCTTTGACAGTTGAGAAAACTCTAAACTAGATTTTTTTAAAAAGAAAGTCAGACCAACTCGTGAAGGTGCTTCGAGCGGATTTAATATAAGAGTTTTAGATGATTAGGAGAGAAGAATTTTTATCAAGTTTTGACATGAGTAGCTAGCATTAAATCATGCGCAGTTCTTAAGCACACAATTGAAAAGATTCATTTGTGAAAAATAGGAGAAAAATGTGTTTTTCCATACATAATACCCATTTCCCAGCCATTTTTACAAAATTAAAATTGTTTTCTCTACTAATATGAACTGATGCAGATGAAAAAACATGTCACTGGATGTAACTTTCGATGTTCTATTCAACCATGTGTAAATTATTGCATTTCGTCAATGGATCATAACCGAGGTGAAAAACCAGTAGGAGACCGGCCTCAAATACAGTACTTGTCGTAAAACGCGTTTGAAACCATAAAAGAACATCACAAAGAGCTTGCCGACGTCTCATTTTATAGGGAAATGTTTGCTCTACAACTGCAATGACTCAAAAAAGTTTGTATGTCCACACTGTAAAAAATAAAGTATGCCCAAAACACACTGAACTTGCACATCACTTTGGTTCGCATTTGTGCATCTAGAAATGCACGCTGTGATATGCCAGAAGCATACTTCGTTGTGTGCAGCGCAGTCTTAAAATTTTACACATCTAGATCATCAATATAGTCTAGTGGCTATGTAAGCTTGTGACCTTTCAAGCCGTTGTTCGGTGTTCGAAACTGACCGACAAATTTTTTTTAATTTTTTTAGTTAAATATCGCCGTTATACAAAATGATCATGGATCATTCTTTTTTTAGCTTAATAGTTTAGTTCACTATCTTCTTTTAATCATTTATAAAAGGCACGTATCTTCAGAATTCTCATACATTAAAAGGTTTTTTCCTTTTTTAGGGCCAAAGTCAGAAGTTGATGAAAGAAAAACAAGATTTGAACAAACAACTGAGAGCAAAGAAGTTATTATTAATGAGGACGATTATGAAAATGATAACGAAAATAGTGGTATTAACGACAATGATAATTACACAACAAAGACAGCACCTCATTGTTCGAAATTAACTCAACAGACGACACATCCTTATATTGGCTTCCCATCGGAAAGTAACCGTTTACCGTTAACAACATTTCAAGAAAACGATTTTTTGACGAGTGATATGCAAAGACAAGGTATCAGTTTGTTCTTTTCCTAAATTGATTTTTGCATAATGTGGATCTTTCTTATTTATTAAAACTTTGGTCTTACTCGTGGAAAATTGTCAAACTATTTTACACTTTTGCCTAAAGATAATTTTCATGAAAGCACTTTGCGAGAGGAGATTCGTATAGGTGAGGTAGACCAATGTTGTGAAACAGAGAACTTAATCTCCAAGACCCTCTTTTTCTACATTTGAACATCTTAAAAATGGCGTCTTTTTATTTGGTAGATATTTCTCACGATAGTTTGCAATTTCAATCGTGTATTTTCACAATCTGCACTAGGAAGACGAAATTATAAATCATTTGAAGACGATAATAGTTCATTGTCACCATCAGATGACGATTATCAAGAAAATCTAATGCCACACCTCAACCAGGAAAGATTCAGAGGTAGTGATTAATTTTGGTGGTGCGATGGTATTGTAAGTCGGTCAAATGATTTTCAACTTTTTCGTGCACTATCTTCTGCTTTTCAAGACATACAAAGAAAAACTGGTCTGGTCGACATTGGAAGGATTAGTAAAAGAGTTCTTCTCGTCAGAAGTAAGTCATTTTCTTTCTCAGTCAACGATAACTTCCTAGAGTTCTGCAAGGCTTAAATAATTTACTGTAGAGCTTACTTGCTCGTAAATGTTGGCTTCCATTTTTTGTGTACAATAAAATATCGAGAAAAGTATTCCGTCTGGTTTATTCGTGAATTGTTACTTAAAAGTATCACAGACTGCGCATTTATATTCACTATTCGTGACCGACTCTATCATATGTTTCGAGTGGACGGCCGAAAGAACAAGTTTGACTGTAACTAAAAGTTAAAAAAGAAAAAGGAAAAACAAGACCTCGAACTTGAATGTATATATATATATAACCGAAAGTAACTAAATGACATTTACAGCGTATTTTCAACAAAATAAACATGCGTGAAGTAATTTTTTTGTTATATGACAAGAGAGAAAAGAAATTTGTGAATGTAATTGGCCATTGTTGGACGAACGATTCTGATTTTTATAAAAAAACTTAAAGTAGTGGTTCGATAAACAATGTCGATACTCGATGATTTCATTTGCTGGTTCTTTTAAAAGTAGTTTAGAAATCGAGGGTAGGCATGAGCGGGGCCT